ATTACATTAATTTTGTGAGTACTAAAATGCACTATAAAACTTAATTTTAATGCTGCGTTCGGATCATGAATTTGAAAATGAAAAGAGAAAAAAATTGTAAAATATAAATTAAATTTTTTTCTTCATTTTCTTTTTTATTTTCAAATTCTTGTCCAATTCTTTCGGTATACTACTCTCTGGAGCAAATCCTATGATCCAAACAATTTTGTTTTTCCGTTCAAAAAAAAACAATTTTGTTTTTATACTTTATATAACTATGTTTTGCTTTAATGAACAGGAAAGGGTCCATAGCTCAGTGGTAGAGCATTTGACTGCAGATCAAGAGGTCACCGGTTCGAACCCGGTTGGGCCCTATTTTGTTGTATACAACATTTTTTGTATTCCTAATCGTCCTAATTACTTTTAACCTTTACTTATTTTGAACGAAATACAAAACTTATATATATTAAAGAATAATATTATATATACTAATTAATGTATTAATTAGTATATTAATGGATGATTTGATATAATTTTAGAAGTTTTGAATATTTATAATTTATATAATAAGTGGAGTCAATAATAATGACATAACATTAGTTAATGTACTAATGGGTAAATTAATTGATGCATCCCCTCCAATTGATATTTTGGATGGGGGTACTATTTGGGTTCGTGGGGTTCACCATGAATCCCGTTTTGATAATCTGAATCATTCATTTTATCATGCACTTCGTGTATTTTTACACAAAAAATTAGGTTGATCCGATAACTGTAACTTATTTAATTTATTGCATTTGGCACTAAAAAATGTACAATTTATTTTCAAAAACACAATTGTTGTCTATTTTTTTTAGTGAAAAATTGAACAAATTACAATTATCAGATCAACCTAATTTTTTTAGTGGATGAAATACACAAAGTGTCCGATAAAATAAACAATTTGAATCATCAAAATAAATCCCACAGTATACCTCACCAATCCAAACAACACTCTCCCATCCAAAATCTAGACTTGTTGTATTACTAATCATCCTAAACTACTTTGAGTTCAAAAAAAAACAATTTTGTTTTTATACTTTATATAACTATGTTTTGCTTTTAATGAACAGGAAAGGGTCCATAGCTCAGTGGTAGAGCATTTGACTGCAGATCAAGAGGTCACCGGTTCGAACCCGGTTGGGCCCTATTTTAATATATATAATATTTTTTGTATTCCTAATCGTCCTAATTACTTTTAACCTTTACTTATTTTGAACGAAATACAAAACTTATGTATATTAAAGAATAATAGTATATATACTAATTAATGTATTAATTAGTATATTAATGGATGATTTCATATAATTTTAAAGATTTTGAATATTTGTAATTTATATAATAAGTGGAGTCAGTAATAATAGCATAATATTAGTTGGTATACTAATGTGTAAATTAATTGATGCATCCCCTCCAATTGATATTTTGGATGGGGGTACTATTTTGGTTCGTGGGGTTCATCATGAATCCCGTTTTGATAATCTGAATCATTCATTTTATCATGTACTTCGTGTATTTTTACACAAAAAATTAGGTTGATCCGATAACTGTAACTTATTTAATTTATTGCATTTGTCACTAAAAAAATGTACAATTTATTTTCAAAAACACAATTGTTGTCTATTTTTTTTAGTGAAAAATTGAACAAATTACAATTATCGGATCAACCTAATTTTTTTAGTGGATGAAATACACAAAGTGTCCGATAAAATAAACAATTTGAATCATCAAAATAAGTCCTGCAGTATACCTCACGAATCCAAACAACACTCTCCAGTCCAAAATTTGGACTTGTTGTATTACTAATCATCCTAAACTACTTCATTTATATTGAACGAAATACATAACTTATATATATTAATATTAAATAAAACAAAAGTTTAACTTGTTTAAAGCATGTTTTTTCATTTTTTTAATTAATTGAGTAAGATGAGTTGAGTTCTTAATGAGTTCACTACAATGAATTGGAGGTTGTACTAATTTGAACTACATGAGCTCACCATAAAACGGAAAGATTTGTAATGGTTAAAATATCAAAAACAGTTGTGTAGCTAAAATAAAAAAGTGAAATTTTAAAAAATTATAATTCGACTATATTGTTGGAAGTTGCTTTAATAACTAAGGGTCTTTCTTAAGGATAACAATTTCTTCTTTCTGCACGGGTTTTCTCCCGTCTTGCACATTGATTTTTTTAAAAAGCAAAATGGAAGATAAATAAAAATGATATTTGTATGTATGAACGTTACTCTTGCCATACATGCCACACAAAGTTATCATTGGTATCTAAGGAAAGGTTTAAAATTTTAGCAAGGATAATTTTACATTGGGTAAATTATAAATACAAGTTCTGAGATTTGATTAAAATATAAATCGTCTTCTATGATTCGGAAAATTACATTCCACCTTTTGATATTTCTAATTTTATAACAAATCGGTCATTTTATAAATAAATCATCAAATCAATTAACAGTTTTTAATGATATTAGAAATATGTTTCAATTAATAATTTAAGTAATTTTATTATTGTATAAGAGAACAATTATGAATTTTATTTTTTTAGTTAATTCTATTAAATAAAAAAAAAATTGACAATGAGATATTTGTAATTTTTCAAATCACAAAGGACGGTATATATTTTAAATAAATCTGAAGAGGTGTATTTATAATTTACCTTTTTACAGTTGATGGATGGGCTCGTTTGATACAATGTTTTGATAAAAAAAATTGATTTATCGTGTATGTTTTGACACGGCAAAGTTGTTGTATTTTAGATGGAGTAACAAATTTGATTTTGGTATTATTGTGTTGATTGAAGATTAATTTTGTTTACATGACACAACGAATCACATAATCCAAAATTCATATAATATAGCACAAAAATGATATAAATATAAAATAACATGATATATTAAACAAAAATAATATTTAAAATGATATTTTTAATTATATTAAAATATAAAAACAAATAAGATAAACACTATCAAAGCATTCTTAATTTTGAAAATTAATGCTCTCGCTCTCAAATCCACTACATAATTTGCTTACTTGGAAAAAAAAATTTGAAAATAGATAAAGGGAAAAGTTAAAATAATATTTTTTTTGATTTTAGAATTTTTAAAAACAATTTTTGATTTGTTTTTATTAATTTTTCTGATACTTAATTTTTTTATTTTTTTATTTTTTTTTTATAGATCAACTTAATGTACACCTACACGATCAAATCAAATCAAAAATTGAAAACTTATCTATTTCAACTCCACATGAAATCAAATCAAACACAATGAACCAGATTTCAACTCCTACACGATCAATCAACACCTACAAACAACGAACATGATTTCAACTCGTACAGGATTTCAACACCTACAAACAACGAACAGGATTTCAACACCTACAAAACCCTAGAAAATCTCCACAAAAATCTGAATCGTTAAGTTCATCCTCACGTAATCTCCCACAAAATATCAATATGATCTTTAGCTGGCAAATTGAAAACAACGTATATTATAAACAAGGGTAAGACAGGTATTTTACACTCTAAAATAACATTGAGGGACCTTATACTACAAAAGAACACATTGTGGACCTAATCCATTACTAAAAGTTGGATAGGGACCTTAAACCGATTTTCCCATAAATTTACCACGTTTTTAGATTTCATCAAAAACTTTTGAAGTACAAAAAACAAAAAGAGACTAAAATGGGAAAAAAAATTTGTTAAATAAATGGCGTCGCCCGGGTTCGAACCGGAGACCTTCAGTGTGTTAGACTGACGTGATAACCAACTACACCACGACACCTCATTATTCTTTTGTACGACATAAAATTAATTAAAACATTCAGGACGAGCCTCGTCTATCGAAACCGGAACGAAGCTTTACTTGTCGAACTTAGATTATGGCGTCACGAACGAGGACATCAATCAAGGTAATACTTTTGTCTAGTTTGTTTTGTTACTACTACTTTCATGTTTTAAAGGCAGAAGTGTTGCAGTCAGGTTTTATAATGGTTTCTAGGTCGTTGGAAAATGGTAATAACTAATACATTATCGCAAGGTTAGTGAACCAAAGGTTGTTAAGATGCACTGCTAGTTTTATTCCTTTTTTTCTCCTTTGGTTTTCTTTTTGTAGAAATTTTGCTTTGGGTATCTATTTGAATATATGCACTGCTGTTTGTAATGGAAGTCTTTTGCGAACAATGGTAAAAAGTAAGTTTTTTTGGCTTTCTAGTTTTTTTAGCCAAAAAAGCCGGCTTTTTTATCCCAAAACAACTCAGCTTTTTGCTAAAAAGTCACTCAAAAAGTCAAAAAATTAACTCTTACCAGCTTCCCAAAACACCACTTAGTCTTGCATATGAAAACATTCAGGTTAATGCATAGCAGTTACTAGGCTTTTTTTGCACAACGCATGTAAGTTATAATTTGCTTGGTTGATATTTTTTCATAGCGATACTTTCTGTCCTTTATTATTTGACTTCTGTAATTCTCACCTCATGCAAAATCTATGCATAAGTAGAAATCTGGAGAATGTTGGTAAATCTGGACTTGATCTGTAGACATTATTTATTTTTTATTGTTATTTTTTTGATAACCGAGCATCTAAGTTAGCGTTTTTTAGGACACTCACCTCAACTAATTTCGGAGCCATGAGCCGATCGACCAGGCAAAGACACAATGGCCTGCTAGTAATCCAGCTAGGGGTGGGAATCGAATTCAAAACGTCTGGAGTTTATGACTCGTCCCACAGTTTTTCTCCCTCAACCAACTGGGCTACCCTTGCGGGTTATCTGTAGACATTATTTGGTAGCTGTACGGGGAGCAAATATTCCGGCGTGCCCGTATTCCTTTCTTCCGAGTTCCGTCGATATCCGATCACCTGCGAGCAAATAACGGTGAGCTACCTGGCGGTGTGTGGCCGGAAATTGTACGGGGAGCAAATATTCCGTTTTATAGTGCTTCCCTATGAATTTGCTTTCCCTGTGTGTATGACAGTTATATGTCTTATGGTGACCTTGGATTAGGGGCTGGGCTGACTGGCTCAAAGTTCTGCCCAGCCCAATACACTTGCTTGGCTTTATTAATAGAATTAAATGTGCGCAGCAACTCTTTTCAGAGGTTGGTGACCTGAAGCGATATTCAATACATTATGATAGGAGTGGAAGATCAAAGGTATTTTATCAAGTTTGGCATGACATGGTCTTCTGAAGAATCTTTGTCCTACTGTGTTTTAGAGAAAAAAAACATTTTAGCTGTATTTGGTTGGGGATTTGAGAGTGGATTAGGAAAGGGAAGGGATAAAGTAAATAAAATATGAATAAAATATAACTAACTTTCACATAGTTTCAAATATTTTGTTCCTTTCTTTTTCTAAATCTTTCTTCAAATCCCCAACCAAACTGAAGTTGTCATCTCACGATGACAGGATGTTATGTCAGCTGTCAAGAGGTACAACAATGTGCTGCTTGATGGGAAGCCAGTGGAAATTGAGATTGTGGGAACAAATATTGCGACTCCTGCCATGCCTCCAGCTGCAAATGGTTCTTCTGGAAATTTACATGGGGTTCCAAGAAGGTACTATCTTTGTTTTAATGTCTAAACATGTTGTGTTTTGTTAAATTGAATAGTGTCACGACTTGCAAATACTTTCAAAACTGCTTCATACTGTTCAAATTATGAAAATATTGTGAGGTTTTGATGCATTGTTAGTTGATGGCCACATTATTTATAATTTTTCATAAATGAATTAAAACCCTGCTAAAATTTCATTTGCTAAAATCACAAAGGATAATGTTTTCATAAGCATATTAATTTTTATAGTTTGTTCAAATTGGTGATCTTATAACTGCTGGTCTTAGGGTTCGCCAGATTTTGATGGATAGCTGATGCGTCTAAATGCTTCTTTTGAGTTATCATTTGTTTGTCAAACTATGGATGCTATGGTACGTGGAAGATTTAGCCCTTAAATTAGCTCTTTTTTGGTATGCACTATGTCAGCTATATTGGGAATTTGATTGAATGGAGCACCTGGTGCTTGTATAAACTCTATCTTTAATTCATACTTCTTGAGGAAAAACAATTTCTTAATTCTTTTGATGCCACTTCAACTTCTCTTTTTTTGGGTATTCGTGATGCTCCACAACACATCAGTTAGGACTGCTCAACTGATTGTTTGTCATAATTTCTTCCCAAGCTTTTTGTACTATCAACATTGACCAAATTCCTACTAACAACTGCAAAACATTCAATTGCTAATTTCTGCTTCTTAAACAACATTGTTACAGATTTCTTGTCCCTTTTTATGCAATTTGAAGACTTTATTGATTGCACGACAAATTAAAAGCATGCCACTTCGTGCATTACTACTATCATTAAGGGTGAGTTTCTATTAAAATTCCTAGATTGATAGTTCAGTGAATGGCTAATGTGATAAGCCTAGAGAAGAGTGTCCATAAATATTGTCTTGAATACTTGTGGTCCCTGGTTGTATAAGATGGTAATGCAATTTTGAAGCTCATTGAATCCTTTTAAAAACACCAGGAGATTGATACCCATTGTGTAGTGGTAATCAAATTTTTTTAGTTTGAATGTTTGCAAGGATTCTTCAAAAGTAAACCTCTCTTCCTAAAATATACAAATAAAGCAACATGGTTCTTGATGATCTTTCCCCTAGAACCACTTATAAGTTATAATTATTGGAGAATTGGCTCCAAAATTGTTCCAGCAATTACTTGAAAAGTGAAGCTTGGAAAGATGTCATCAATTTTATTTATTTTTTTTGGGAAAAAGATTTAGTGAAAACGGATCCGGTGAAAATGGATTGACCTTCCCATCCATAGGGCACTCCCCAACCAAAGACATCCTCCAATCTTGAACCCAAAATGATAATCAACCAAACATGTGCTGTTGACTACCCAGAAAAACTTGGGGTGGGAAGTGGATCTATTTTAGCTGGAATTGAGAATCCTTATTGATATGAGTTAATTAGAAAACTTGCAACATATTTTTTGGAGGTGTTTTTTGGGTGTATGTTGGATGGTGTATGCTTTCAATTGACAAACTAAGGTGTGGGAGGATTCTTAGTAACATCTAAGGAGGATGATTTATAATCTAAGGCCATGTTTGTTTAGGTGGACATGAGCTTGGGATTGGACTAATAGTCCAATAAAATTATTAATCCGATGTTTGGTTAAACAATTGAAGTAGGGACTAATTATTTTAAACTTGACTATTAGTTAAGATAGGATACATAATCCAACGAATTCGTAGTCCTAGGACTATTAGTCATGTGAATGCTAATCCAGTCCGCCCAAACAAACATGGCCTAAGGGTTTTACCATAAGCAAGATTGGTACAAGATTTGTGAAGATCTACTTTGCTAAGACCTAGGTACTATGGAGACCCCTCTTAGAGTGGCACGTCCATTTCCATACCAAGCACATGTATAACGTTGGCACTCATTAGACACTTTTAGACACATGTTTAAATGTTTCCATTTATTTTTTTTTATTTTTCTAAACTAGATGTGCAAGGGGTGTGTCTACTTGTATAGATATGTAAACACACATCTAGGTGCCAGGCAGGTGTAAAAAATTAAAGCAGTTGCTAAAGATTAAAATCAAAAGAAGCATATATTTCAAAAATAAGGGATAATCTACTGATCCTTGTCACCGCATTCTGGAAAGGATGGTAGGGGGAGGTTTTATTCATGGATTTGACATTGGGGATAGGGTGGATCTCATATTTCAATGAACCATCTGTTGTTTGCTGATGATATTCTACTTTTTTGGGAAGCAGAGGAGTTGAGGTGGCTGAGGTGTGTTTTGACAAAGTTTTTGGGCTTCATGTTAACTTGGCTAAGAGTTCAATTATCATGGTAGGGGAGGTGGATAACATGGATGTTATGGTTCAGATTTTGAGGTGTAGTATGGAAGAGGTGCGTATTTGTGTTTGCCTCTTGGGCCCTCATTTAAGGCTAAGGTAGTGTGAGACAGGGTGGTTGATATGTTTGCAAAGAAGTTGGCTACTTACTTCAAGGGGTAGGTTGACTTTGATCAAAAGCATTCTTTCTAATATGCCTACCTACTTGATGTCTGTTTTATCTGTTCCTAACTCAGTGGCTAGGAGGTGGTGAAGTTGGAGAATGATTTTTTGTTCTGGAGTGGAGTGGAGGGGAGGGGAGGGCAGTTCAGTTCAAGTATCACCTGGTGAATTTGGATAAGTGCCGGGCTGCCAACAACGCGGGTTTCAACGAGGCCGAGAAGAATTACCAGAAGCAAGTCTTTGCAACACAAGACATATACTTCAAGGCTGGCTGGAAATCCGCTTGCGAACAGCTCGGTCAGGGCTCTGACACCGACGTTTTTGCCAATCCTCCCAAAGCTTCACTACCGGTCTACCTCGTGCCATATGCAAATGATGTATTTAGTGCGCTTCAAGCGGAGGCCGAGGAGGGGCTGGAAGAAGGAAGTGATGAGACAGATTCGGAGGCTGAAGACGCCGTAGTGGAAGTGCATCCCGGTCAAGTTGAGCCCGGTGCCCGAGAAGCGAGCCCAACCACCAACCTTGAGACTGCCGAGGATGAATTCACCAATCTATCCCCCCTGGTTTAGTTTTCTTTTATTTGCATTTTTGCTTTCAATACTTTTGATGTAACCGGGCTCTGTCCCCACCTCTTGTAATGAATTTCTTTATCAATGAAAAATTTTGAATTTTCGCCAAGTGTTTGCCCGGTAGTAATTAATTCCGTCTTCAGCAAACTATCTCGGTATAACTCATCGAACCGGAATACATGACACGGTCTAAGTACTTTAGCAGAACGAGACAAATTCATGAACCGAAATAGCCACTTCGGCTGTAACTAAGTCGAACGTTTGGACAAGATACCGTGTTGGACAAGACGCCAACTCTTCCAACCGGAGTACTTCATCACGGTTGGGAATCCCAAGTTGGACAGAACACCAACTCTTCCAACCGGAGTACAACATCCCGGTTGGGAATTTTAAGTTGGACAAATCACCAACTCTTCCAACCGGAGTACAACATCTCGGTTGGGAATTTTAAGTTGGACAAATCACCAACTCTTCCAACCGGAGTACACCATCTCGGTTGGGGATCCTAAGTTGGACAAAACACCAACTCTTCCAACCGGAATACACCATCTCGGTTGGGAATTTTAAATTGGACAAATCACCAACTCTTCCAACCGGAGTACACCATCTCGGTTAAGGATCCTAAGTTGGACAAAACACCAACTCTTCCAACCGGAGTACACCATCTCGGTTGGGGATCCTAAGTTGGACAAAACACCAACTCTTCCAACCGGAGCAAATCATCTCGGTTTTGAACATTAAAAGAACAATCCAAGTGCTAGTGCGAGGCGAAATTACATCTATATATTGACAAAAAGATTTACATTCTGCTTTGCAAGCCAAAAAATTACTTTACAAAAGGAGGAAAGTAAAAAGCTTAAAAATAATACAATTTCAAGTTGGCCGCATTCCATGGCCGGGGTATGGCTCTTCCCTCTAGATCCTCCAAGTGGTAAGCCCCCTTGCCAGTCAGACCAGTGATCTTGTAGGGTCCTTCCCAATTTGCCCCTAGTTTGCCTTCTCCTGGCACCAGGGTGTTGCCCATAATCTTCCTCAAAACCCAATCCCCAACTTTGAACGGTCTGGGGTGCACTGTCTTGTTATACTTCTTGGAGAGCTCTTGTTGGTAGGCGGCCACATGGATGAGGGCTTTCTCCCGGCGCTCTTCCGCTAGGTCCAACTCCAAGGCAATAGCCTCGGCATTTAGTTCGGGCTCAAAACTCTCAGTTCTGAGGGTGGGCATTTCAACTTCCAAGGGTATGACCGCCTCCATGCCATAAGCCAAAGCAAATGGAGTTTCCCCGGTCGAACGTCACGGGGTTGTGCGGTATGCCCAAAGGACGCTCGGTAATTCTTCAGCCCACTTGCCCTTAGCCTTTTCCAACCGTTTTTTCAACCCATCCAGTATAGTCTTGTTTGATGCTTCGGCTTGACCATTGGACTGCGGGTAGGCCGGGGTGGAGTTGTAGAATTCTATCTTCAGATCTTCACAAAATCCTCTGAATAGGCGACCGTCAAACTGGGTGCCGTTGTCAGAGATCAAAATCTTGGGGACACCAAACCGCGTGACAACGTTCTGCCAGACAAATCGCTTCACGTCTTTCTCTTTGATGGTTGCCAAGGGCTCAGCTTCAACCCACTTTGTGAAGTAATCTGTGGCCGCGATGAAGAATTTCCGGTTGCCCGGTGCTGTTGGCAACGGTCCCACTATATCTAGCCCCCACATGGCGAAAGGCCAAGGACTGGTGAGGGGAAGAAGTTCCCTGGCAGGCTGGTGGATCTGATGAGCGAATTTTTGGCATTTCTCGCACTTGCGGACATATTTTTGGGCGTCGGCCTGCATGCACGGCCACCAGTATCCCTGCGAAATAGCTCGGTAAGCCAAGGACCGTCCCCCGACGTGGCTGCCACAACTGCCTTCATGAATTTCAAACAAGAAGGCCTCCACACTGTTCGGGTGCACGCACTTGAGATACGGACCGGTGAAGGACTTCTTATACAACGCGCCTGATGGAGAGAGCCAAAACCGCTCTGACTTCACCTGGATTTTGTGTGCTTCTTTCTTGTCCGCTGGAAGAGTCCGGTCTTTGAGGAACAAGATCAAGGGGTCCATCCATGAAGGACCTAGCTCGGCGCAGAGCACATCCGTCTGCCCGGCGTTTTCAATGCTTGGCCGCGGAAGAAAGTCAATCAACAGGGGGTTGGGAGACGTTCTATCGACCATGGAAGCGAGGCCGGCGAGTTCATCAGCCCGGCTGTTTTCTTCTCGGCCAATCCGTTGGACTCTGATTGCCTCAAACAGCTTGATATGGTCTCTGACCAGAGCTTGGTACTTCGCTATCCTGTCGTCCTTCGCTTCATAAATCCCTGAAACTTGGTTAACCACAAGCTGGGAATCACTATATACCAGAAGCTCGGCAGCCTTCATTTGTATTGCGCTCTTGAGCCCCGCAAGAAGCGCCTCGTACTCAGCCTCGTTGTTAGACGCTTGGAAGCCGAGTGTGATAGAATGCTCAATGGTTAGGCCGTCCGGGGATATAAGAACAATACCTAAGCCGGAACCATGGCGGTTGGACGCTCCATCAACAAAAAGCTTCCACATGTCCCCCACAAAAAGCTTCCAGCAGTCAGATGGGTCTTGAGAGTTGCGAAGGGCAATGGGATCACAACTGCTCGGCTGTGCGGTGTCAAGTTTGGTGTTGACCGGTTCAAAGTCAGTGCCCCTTGGTGATTCGACACCGGACTCAGCAAGTAACTCTTCCCACCGGAGCAAATCATCTCGGTTGGGGATCCTAAGTTGGTCAAAACACCAACTCTTCCAACCGGAACACACCATCTCGGTTGGGAATCCCAAGTTGGACAGAACACCAACTCTTCCAACCGGAACACACCATCTCGGTTGGGAATCCCAAGTTGGACAGAACACCAACTCTTCCAACCGGAACACACCATCTCGGTTGGGAATCCCAAGTTGGACAGAACACCAACTCTTCCAACCGGAACACACCATCTCGGTTGGGAATCCCAAGTTGGACAGAACACCAACTCTTCCAACCGGAACACACCATCTCGGTTGGGAATCCCAAGTTGGACAGAACACCAACTCTTCCAACCGGAACACACCATCTCGGTTGGGAATCCCAAGTTGGACAGAACACCAACTCTTCCAACCGGAACACACCATCTCGGTTGGGAATCCCAAGTTGGACAGAACACCAACTCTTCCAACCGGAACACACCATCTCGGTTGGGAATCCCAAGTTGGACAGAACACCAACTCTTCCAACCGGAACACACCATCTCGGTTGGGAATCCCAAGTTGGACAGAACACCAACTCTTCCAACCGGAACACACCATCTCGGTTGGGAATCCCAAGTTGGACAGAACACCAACTCTTCCAACCGGAACACACCATCTCGGTTGGGAATCCCAAGTTGGACAGAACACCAACTCTTCCAACCGGAACACACCATCTCGGTTGGGAATCCCAAGTTGGACAGAACACCAACTCTTCCAACCGGAACACACCATCTCGGTTGGGAATCCCAAGTTGGACAGAACACCAACTCTTCCAACCGGAACACACCATCTCGGTTGGGAATCCCAAGTTGGACAGAACACCAACTCTTCCAACCGGAACACACCATCTCGGTTGGGAATCCCAAGTTGGACAGAACACCAACTCTTCCAACCGGAACACACCATCTCGGTTGGGAATCCCAAGTTGGACAGAACACCAACTCTTCCAACCGGAACACACCATCTCGGTTGGGAATCCCAAGTTGGACAGAACACCAACTCTTCCAACCGGAACACACCATCTCGGTTGGGAATCCCAAGTTGGACAGAACACCAACTCTTCCAACCGGAACACACCATCTCGGTTGGGAATCCCAAGTTGGACAGAACACCAACTCTTCCAACCGGAACACACCATCTCGGTTGGGAATCCCAAGTTGGACAGAACACCAACTCTTCCAACCGGAACACACCATCTCGGTTGGGAATCCCAAGTTGGACAGAACACCAACTCTTCCAACCGTTTGTCTCTAAACCCTTTAAGGTGTAGTTTGAGGTAGCTATGAAGACTTGGGCGGTTCGGTCGAGTTAGGAGGTTGTTCAAGCTCAGTTTAAATTGTGCTGAGACTTGCCCAAGCCCGCCCAAGCCCGAATTGTAACCCGAGGTTGTCTGCCCAAATCCGACCCAAGCTAAATCCAAATTGCCCGAGTTACCCGAATTGTAAATGAATTTCAATTTTTTTTTTTAATTATTTATTATAGAAAATCATCAATACCATCAAAACAAATAATTTATATAATGTAAGAGAGATGCCACTATAGTAGTCCTTACAATTTATAAGTAAAAATAAAAAGACAAAAAATAAGATTTTATGTTATTTGTATATATAATATATATTCAATATGATTTAATAATATAAATTACTTTAATATCATGTAATGACTAATAATTTATATGTATATTTAATATTTTTATATATCTATATATGTATAATTCGGGTTTCAGGTTACTCGAGTTGTTTGACATCTTTGCCCAAACCCGCCCAAATTTAATTCAGGCTTTTGAATTTTTGTCCAAACTCGTACCGAATTTGAAAATATATTATCCAAGCCCTAAAAAAATTCAGGCTGGGCTCAGGTTGCTCTGGTTGAGCCCGCCCAAGTTGCACCCCTAATAAAAACTACTAAAAATAGTGTGCAAGCACAAATATAAACAAGAAAAAATAAAATTTTCACTATAAAAAATATGATAACATCATTATATGACTAATGATTTATTCATGAAAAAAAACTAAATGTCATATTAACTAAAATTTTAAAAGAATTCAATATAATTATGTTAAATTATAAAATTACTTGTATTTTTTTCCAACTTTAAAAGAGGTCGGTATAATTCACCCTAAATATAAAAATATAAAAATGTTTGATCAAATATTCACCTTCTAAAATATAACACAATGCTCATATCACGATAAATTTGACATGATAGACAGCATAGCGCTAAAATTTAACACCATTAATAACATGCGAATAAATGAATAGAGTCGAGCAAGTTTGGCGATTTCCGACGATTGTTCCGGCAATTTCCGACGAGCCTTAAAACTTGTTTTTCTCTTTTCTTTTTTTCCGATCTTTCAGTGTTGGGGGGAGGGGGACCTATTGAAGGTCGCTTTCTTTGCCGGCAGTGCTTCACTCCAATCGATCTGGGTTTATTTTCCGGCTTTGACTCGGTTTCCCCTTCCCTCGGTTTCCCCTCCCCTCGGTCTCATTCAATAGATCTGGGTTCCATTTGCTTTTCAAGGTGTTTTCCGGTGGTTTGGTTGTTGTTCTCTGTTCTGTTTTCCGACGATCTCTACGGCTTACTTCCGCTCTGTGGACCAGGTATTTTACGGCAAGACAACTCGTTTTCCAGTGTTTTTTTGGTGAGCTTCCAGTTACCCTTCCTGATCTTGCACTTTTTGGTTGTTTGGAACAATGCTCAAGAAAGGCTTTCTTCTTAACTCTAAAGTGGTTCCCAAACGTCTTTCTAAAGAAGAGAAAGGCAAAGGCATCGTCATGTCAGGGGCTTGTGCTCAGGATAAGTTGCACAGGATAAGTTGCAGGGTTCCTTATACCCTGACTTATTTTCCGTTTTGGACCGGTTGGACATGGCTCTGATTCAGGATTCTCTGGGTGATGATTTTCAATTTGATTGGGATGCTGCTTTGGAACATATAAAGTCTAAAGTGGGCTTGGATGATACAAACTTTCCACTGTCAAAAGGCCGTGAACAACCTGGGTCCTCTAATACTATGGTTCATACTGGTGTTGCTTTTGAACCGAGTGGTCAGTTTCCGAGTAAGGATATTAGAGCAGGAATCGGAGCAGGGTGGGATTGTGGCACTGTCATCAGAGAGGGGCCTCACAAGTGGGCTTGGTTGCAATAAGAATAGTGAGGTTGATATGTCTGGTACTTCACTCAGCAAGGATGATAAACCCACGCAGAAGGTCAAGCGTCCCAAAAGAGTGCATTTGGGCAAGGACTTCATCCTCATTGATCGTAACTCGTGTCAGGCTCTTCAATCCGGTGGATCCTTTCAGTTTTTACACCGACAGAGTTTGTCGGTTTTTGAAGTTTGAATTCGTGGGCACTCTGACCCAATTCTGCAAGATGCAGTAGTGGATATTGAGATAGAGGCCCCATCCCTGAACATTCTACCTACTTCTTCCCAATCCTGTGAAGAGACACTACAACCGTCACCACCCAATTCGCCAACTCTACAACCGTCCTCCCCGGTTCTTAGTGATTGTGAAATGGAGGAGCAAGCACCGACTACTGGAAAAGCTTCATTATCTGATAATTTTATGTTTTGTTATGCAGGCCGGTCAAAAAGAATTCGTGCTTCCATACTTCATTGTCCTAAATCCTCTAAATTGATCTTTGACATTACTGCTGGTAAACTCAAGCGGGAGCCACGGATTGAAGATTCCTACTCTGATCCCAGTCTTTTCAAGCCACCTCGGCGTCGAGCTTTTGGACTAGGCTAGGAGACTCTTTTGTTGGTGCTTGTTTATTCTAGTTTTATTTGTACTCATGACTATTATAACTTGTAATGTTGTTATTCTGCTTATTAATATATAGTGATTTCATCGTCCTCAAAAAATAAATAAATAAATAAATAACATGCGAATTAATGTATTGTAAGAATAATAAGAGAACGATCCACGTATCAATAAGCAAAACAAGAGCAAAAAGCATTGTCCTATAGAAGCATACACTAGACAAATGTATGCAAATCTTCACACAATTTCAGCTTTAAACTTTACATAAAAGTTTGGACATGCAAATTCAGGAATGTACATATTAGGACTTCTTAGGTTTTATCAACTTCTCCCAAACAGAAAAGATAACACTGAAAATAGAATACAATATGGCTTGTATGCAAGACATCATGAAGTTCCAACAAGAGGAGGGCCAGTACCATGGATATAGCAACCGGAAAAACAAACTTATCAGATGCCGAGGGTATTGTCCAACCTGAAATAAACAAGCATCAATGTCATGCTATAAAGATCGCCACAACACGTCAGGAACAAGTTGAACACCTCAATAATCTGGTTACCAAGCTGACGATGAATTGAAAGAAATTACAGTTGAGCATACTATATGTTAGCCCCAAGGTTATTCAAATTGATTTTGATTATTGAAAATTTTCTTTATTTAATTTATTATTAAAAGTTTCCAAAAAAATAGTATACAAATTGTGCTAGAAGATATATGATTCTAAAAGTGTTATTTTTCCAATGATTTTTGGCCCTCCAAAGCATAAGATTAGCAATTGTTTGCAAAACTCTATCCATGCTTAAAATAGGTCTACGGGTCGACACCAAGACAGCAAGGGTCAACACCAGAGTGAAGTTTAAAATGCCTAAGTGTTCCAGCTGCAAGGGTCGACACCAAAACAGCAAGGGTCGATACCAAAATTCAATGTGCAATCCAACAGCAAGGGTCAACACCAAGAACAGCAAGGGTCGACACCAAATTTTAGAATGCAATCCAGCAGCAAGAGTCGACACCAAAAACAGCAAAGATCGACACCAAATTTCAAAATGCAATCCAGCAGCAAAGGTCAGCACCAAGAATGATAATGGTCGACACTTGGAATACCCGAAAATCAACTCAAAGAAGAAAATAAAGCAAAGGGTCAACACCCAATCTGCAAGGATTGACACCTGTAAATCTGGGTTTAAAAAATTCCACTTGCCAAATCAGATCCAGACTGTTACAGATCATTTCTCAGCCTTTTTCAAATTTGTGTGCAAAATAAGTCATATCTTCTGACCACAGAACAGATCCTCTAGCACCATATCATCTCCAAGAAGTTGACTTATGAGGTTGAACATTAAATAAAAAGCTTATCCATTTAATGAAACCTCTCTTCCCAAGACCTGCCTACAGTCTGCCTTCTTCTTATTCTGATCAAACACAACTGGAGCAAATCCTTCATGATCTTCTCCAACGGATAAGAGATTCAAATCTCCTCTCTCTCTAACAGCTAGAAGCCATCAATATTATAAATATGGAGGTCTCCTTGTTCATTCAATACACTTCTTTAATACAACAAGCCTAGAGCATTCAAGAGCAATCAAGAGCTTTTAATATACTCCATTTGTACTTCCATTTTCATAACTGAGTGAGTCTTAAATTACTTCTTACACTTTCATATCCATCTTTTGTGAGAGAACATTTGTAAAAGAGAAAAGTTGTACCTCTTATTCTTATTCCTTATTTTCTGAGTGACACACTTGTAAAGTGAGACATTTAGTTGAGAGGTTCTCAACAGATTGAAGTAAGTCCTTATAAAAATTCACAAGCTAGATGAAGCTTGATGATACATCTATTTATAGTAAAGAAATTCTCAAAAAAGTATCTTGAGGAGTGGACGTAAGCCGGTGAGCCGAACCACTATAAATCATTTGTGTCAAGCTCTTCTTTCCTTTCCTTTTATTTTCTGTGCATTCATTTATTGTCATCAGCTGTTAAACACTTAGTCTTTGCAAATTTATTTTCAAACCAAATTTTTAACTACCCAATTCACCCCCCCTCTTGGGTTGCCTTCCTAATAACACTATATATATATGAGTATATATTGACAAGTATTCTTTCTTGAGTAACAAATGAAAATTAACTCAGCAAATCAGTAACTTATCTACTTAAAATGAGAGAGGAAGGTGAAAACAAGTAACATTTTCAAGATTATCAGACAGGTTAATAATACTGTGATCAATTATAAGCAATTGCCATTAACAATAGTTACTTGCAAATGCCATTAACATTAGTCACTCAGTCAAGCTTAAATGTTGTGTGTGTGTGTTTAGTGAATGCAAATAGTCTCATTCTAGAATTTAAAGATTTCACTTTTTACATGATTTTAGTTGACTAGAGTGCTTTTCTGTTTTACCTGCAGATTTTATTTATTCATACTCTTTTGGAAATGTAGAAGCTGCACACCACTGAATTGGGTGGAAACATGTACGTTTTACTACAGAGGTAACAAACTACACAAACAGATAAGACAAAAAGAAAGACATTCGCAAGAGGTCCAAGGAAAATCATGTCAGAAAGTAAAAACGACTTAGTAAAAGACATGACACAGAAATTCAAAGCCATAGAAGTATATTACTATTTTTCAAATGAAAAGAACAATGATGGTGAATTAGGATTTAAATTATTGCATCATTCATACATCATTTGTTTGTCTCGTATGTTTTAAAATCTTTTCGGAACATATCATGGATAATCACCCAAGAGAGTGAAAAAAGAACATGTTTTTATGAGTGTCCTACTGGTCTTGACTTGACACAAAGTCCATTTTGGTTTCTCATTTCTTGTCTCAAATATCAATGTAAGTGATCATCCAGCTTTTCTCTTATTAACTCTCCTATTAAAAAGAAGACAAGCAACAATTCCAACACAAAAGGTAGAATTCTTGTATGAAGCATTTACTCAGGCATAAAAGTTTGGAATGAAATAATATTTGACGCATAGCAAACCGAAGTAATTTTGTGCACATTGATTGCAAAAACGTGATGTCAATATCAACAAAACATGATCAACTACTCATTTGCGTTAGTAATATTTGTAATGCAGCTGAAAGTGATGAAATAATTTACTCACAGGAAAAAGGAAATCCAATGCATCCCAGGCTGCATGACGAACAACTCTTGTTGGATACATTGGACCACCGGGAGAAGTGAAGCTATACAAGCAAGTTTTCAATCTTGTACTTGTCATCATTCTCAGTTCCAGACCTGCAGTAAATAAGTCATGCCGAATTGATCAGAAATAATCTAGTCTAAATCATATTACGTAGAAACAGCTCATAAACTTCAAAGCTTATGTTATCCATGAATCTTGAAATAATATACCCTGGAGATTTTTAATCTGAGAAAGGTAATGTAACAGTACTGGCTCCACCTTCAATTTCTGAAGCTGATCAAGTTGAAAAAATACAAAACCATATTAAAAGGCTTCACAATAAGAACCAACATTGAACCTATCAACCGATGCAGTCTTTTCAGAGTTTTTCAACTTTGAACTCTTACCTGATCAGTGAGTTCAATAACAAAAATATCTGCTGGACCACCAACAAAGAAAGCAGTTGGAAAATCAGGAAATTGCTTCAAGAAGCTTTCAAGCTTGTCAGCTGTAAAATGAAAATTGTAAGTCAAGTTACACAGAGATAAATAAGGTCAAATTCTGAAGGATCCATATCTTGACTTCAACAACAAAGTTGAAGAACTGACAGGGCTTACCTAAGCTGTAAAAGAATATGAACCTTGATATTAGAAGAAATAGATCTCGTTGGGCCTGACAAATAGTAAAGGATTTCCAGATTAACTCTCTTCCACTTAATAATGATTCACACTGCACAAGATAGCATGTGGAAAATATATGGGCTGGATCAATGTCTGACCTGCAACGGGATTTTCTTTAATCGCTCGGGCACCAATGCAACCTCCTCCAGAAGATACTGAATCAAGGTGAGAGGATGAGAGTGAAATATCTTCAACCACATCTTTCAAACAACATAACATTGTTAGAAAATATCTCATCACAAAAAGAAATCGTACCCAGAAGAGAGATTGGAAATGTCTTGTGTTTGTTTGGATGTCGATCCTGCATGTAAGTATATATTATGCTATGAAAAAAGCAAATTTTTTATTATTTTCATATTTTTTTTAGTTTTTGCAATATGCACACATTATAAGAGATGCTTACTACAAATAGTAAGGGGAAAGGAAAGGAAACATTCAAGGACAGCATTGTTGACACCAGATTGGGCACCCTGTCGTTTTCCTACTGGATGGAACATAGGCAATCCAGCATCTGACCGACCATGAAGTTACAGGTAAAATATGTGACCCTCTCTTCATTCCCAACAGTCCTTTCCCTCTAAACCCCTCAAAAATAGGAGCCACAAGCTATCAACCCATTCATCAGATTATGGTAATGCTCCTCCTTCCTTTGGGAGCTTCATTTACACCATAAAACTACTTACATCCTTAAATTTTCATTTTCATTTTATTACAATTTTATTCTTTAACTAAAATTACCAAAATAAATACTCAAACCCTAAAATACAAAAACCTAATTCTCCTTCCACCCACCCCCTTCTCCACTGGACCACCACCATTGCTGCCTGCCTCCACCACCCCTCTCCTCCCTGTCACCCCATCTTCCACCACGAACAGCCACCTCCAGACCCTCCCCTTCCCTCCGCCATCTGCAACCCTTTTCTTTGCCCGTCACCACTTTTCTTCTTCGTAAACCCTAGATCTATTTCTCTCTCACTCGTTCTATCAGTGGTGGGGAGGCACGTTACAGTAGTGAGGCTGAGGGTGTTGGGTCTGGTGGTGGGGGTAGGAGGATGGGGTTGATGGGCTGGTCACAGTGGTGGAAAGGTTGGGTCGTAGTGGAGGTGGTGTAGAGTCAGGGTTTGAAATGTTAGTGGTTTAAAGAGAGGATGAGAGGTTAGGGTGGAGTATTCATTTGCGATTATAGAGGGTGGAATGAGATAAAATGATAATTTTGAATTTTAGAGGATGGTGTAATTAGAAAATGGATGTAAGGAGACAAAATGGTTGTGTAAATAGAAGCTCACCTCCTCCTTCAACATCTTTGCGTCACCATAACTGAAGCAATCAGCATATCAGATATAAAAATTTACTCAATGTTCCCACGGTGTTAACCAATAATGCCTTTTCATTCTGGCAATCTTGAATAGCTCGCCACTCTCTTTCCCCTTCTGCAGGTCCAGCTCTCTCCCACCACTAGTTTGAATCACAGGAAACCTACCAGATTGACAGGGGACAAAACCCTATGGTACAATGAGGAGATCATCTTGATCTGGTTTCAAGCCGGTATGAACAACGCCAATATGTTCAAAAATATTTCAGCAGTGATACTGTAATTTGTTATCCTACAACAATCAGACTCAAAAAAGGTGATGCTACCATATATATTTTCTTCCCTCCATTATTTTGTTTAGTCAAATGGATCACAAAGGAAATGGCTATAGAAACTATAATACACTTGAAAAACAGATACCAGTGGATCTACAGGGAGATTATATACCAAACCATGCCTAAAGCAATAAATATTTACCAATTTACCAATTAATGACTACGATCAAAACAGAATTGCAAACATACATACCAAAAGACATTTGTAGCACCTTGAACAAGAGCTGAAGAATAACGGAGGAGGACTTCAGAATTATCAAGTTGAACTTCAAACAACTGCAAAATGAATGCAAGTATATACAGTCAACAGCAGAGGAAAGCCACAGTAGAAGAAACGTGTATCCCTTGACGGCCAAAGGCGGTGGTTGGAGATGGTGTACAATAAGGGTTTGAAAGAATAGGGATGTAATGAGAAATTGGGAGGATAGGGAAGAGGGTATTTGTGGAATTACAGGGAGTGTAAGGACATAAAATGAAAATTGTATCTACACAAATTTTGTTTCATTTATAACTTTTTCTAAAAGTATAAGTTTATAACTCAAAAGGTAAACGAATTTATATTCCAATTTTATTTTTCCCACCCTTTTTTTTCATATCTTTGTGCAACTTCAATTATTTTCCATTTTGATTTCTTATTATTCATATTCCATTTATTTTTTCCTCAATGAAATTACTTATACTAACAACATATTTTACTTTGTTTACCCTTCACATAAATTATTATGTATATGTAAGCAATTCACAAATATACATATATTATAAATTTCTTTCAATACTAATTGGCAACAACCATAAAATTGACTCTTGTCAATTTTGTTTTCATTCATTCCCTTAACAATAATTGCAAGAATGATAGCAATTTCACTCAAAAGGCAAAAGGATAAGGGGAAAAAATCAAAGAAAAAACTCAAATCTGATCTTCCTTGAGCAGAAAGTTATTTATGTACCCTGAGGAGCAACTACCCCTTTCTCTTTCCTTTCTCTTCCACTTTCCATCATAGCAAACGGTGGATACTCTCCATCTTCTCCTTTCTCCTCTCCCTCCTTCCCTTCCTCCCATTCCTTCTTACCAGATGAAGCACTAGTATCAAGGTTGTTAAAATCGGGATCCTACATTGGATCGTTGGAGGTGTTTATAGGATCGGATCGTAGAATCGGATCGAGGATCGTAAGATCCAAGGTAAACGAATTTATATTCCAATTTTATTTTTCCCACCCTTTTTTTTCATATCTTTGTGCAACTTCAATTATTTTCCGTTTTGATTTCTTATCATTCATATTCCATTTATTTTTTCCTCAATGAAATTACTTATACTAACAACATATTTTACTTTGTTTACCCTTCACATAAATTATTATGTATATGTAAGCAATTCACAAATATACATATATTATAAATTTCTTTCAATACTAATTGGCAACAACCATAAAATTGACTCTTGTCCGTTTTGTTTTCATTCATTCCCTTAACAATAATTGCAAGAATGATAGCAATTTCACTCAAAAGGTAAAAGGATAAGGGGAAAAAATCAAAGAAAAAACTCAAATCTGATCTTCCTTGGGCAGAAAGTTACTTATGTACCCTGAGGAGCAACTACCCCTTTCTCTTTCCTTTCTCTTCCACTTTCCATCATAGCAAACGGTGGATACTCTCCATCTCCTCCTTTCTCCTCTCCCTCCTTCCCTTCCTCCCATTCCTTCTTACCAGATGAAGCACTAGTATTAGTGCCTCAAATAATAAAAATGAGAACAAGGAGGAACGTAGAAACTTGGTTTCCATTGTTAAACAAACCACATTCAACACACAATTAGAAGGAAAACTTATACAACAGATACAATACTAAAAAAAGTTGCTACATACCCATTTGTGGAACAGAAGTGAGAAAATATGAGACACAAATGATTGGCTCCAGAGTTGGACTATCAAATCAATAATTGGATTTCCATTCTCAGGCTCACACACAAAATAATCAGCAAGCACATAGTAAAAACATAACGGGCCCTCAGTCCCATCCTCGGATGGGGAAATTAGATCTTCCCTGCTGAGAATTATATCTGTTTCAATTAAAATGCAGTAAATGAGAACACAAAGAAATAGGGCTATAAAGTAGCAATTAGGCCAGAAATCAGAATTGCTAATAAATAACAAGAGTTGATACTTGGAGATTATTATGATTAATCAAAATGCCATAAACTAACACACACACACACAAAATAAAAAATAAAAACAAAGGGGATTATTGAAATGCAAATTCTATTGGATACCATTACAACTCTCATAATTCTTTGTTAGACACTTTTAAACTTACAAATGACATTCTTCCATTTCTTACAAGTTACAATTTTTTTTAATGTGAGTTGGACAAATTATCCTTGAAAGAAACAGCAACCACTCTGTCACTCATTGGATTGATCTTCAGAGGTGGTTTCATCAAAATAGGAAGAGATTATAAATCCAAGGTCAAAAGCCAAGGTTGAGTATCATGTCTTGCCACGATATTGGCTAGGCATAAAACACTATGCTCTTCAAGATCTCATAGTGCTGAAACTAAAAACAACATGCACAATAACAGGTTGCCTATGTTGCAATCATGTTCAAGCATTGATTAGGTGGCTAATTTATATAGTAAAGGCTTCTAAGTGCTTTTTTAGGGGAACTGTCAAGCAAATGGAAACATACTCACCTCATCAATAAATGGAATGTTTTCATTCCATATGAGGTGCATTTCAACGTGAAACAGAACTAATATCTGTGGTGCAAGAAATTTCAAAAGCTACCTTACCCAATAAAAAGTATTTCACACTTCACCATATTATTTACATATCATAAATGAATATTATGCTGATTCTGGTGGAAACTGGGTTATATACACATATATATTTATATATATATTGCAACCATCATCAATATTCATTAAAGATTTCCTCAATTGCACAAATTTCAGAAATCACGAATTGAATCATGTCATTGCAAACTTAACGGTGCCGCTATATATCTGGTGTTTTCGTTCAACATTGATTTCAGCCATCGTACCATGCATTCAATTGTGACTGCTAGCATATTCAAAACTGATGAAAAATGACTTATCACCAAATTTTGATGAAATGACATTCTTTAAATGCTGCATCAAATGCAAGACGCTAAATTTCCACGAAACACCATGACATAAATGTTTCATATATGTAAAATTAAGGATCCAAATCTAGAACTGAAAAAATAAAAATAAATAAAAAGAGCTTGTACAATTGAACAAAAAGAGTGGATAACTCGCGATGTTGTAGATTAAAAATTAGCAATATTCATCTTTGAGAGCAAGTTAAAGACCAAGTGAAGTGATGAAAAACCTCTAGCTCGGTCATCGACCTTCAAAGCTATGTCGGCGAATAGCTCTTGCAACAAGTTGCGTCTCTGCGACGGCAACGCTAGTGCCTGCAACAAATACAACACAAAAACTAACTTCGATTCACGATCAATTAGGTGTAAAAAAAAAAAAAAAAGATCCCTATCATATTTGGTCATTCAATAAGACCCATTGGGCACCTGAGTCCAACCTAGCTTAATCCATTTTCTATGTGGCCAAATGAAACCAACCCAATTACAACCCATTTTCTAATTGGACGGGTTTAAATGGGTCTTAGATAGGTTTAAATGGGTGGGCTCATGGACATGGGCTAGACTTGCCAACTCTAGAAATGTCACTGCCTTCTGTCAAATTAAATATTAATCAGTATGTTTGGTTTCAATTTTTAAAAAATTGATTTTTTTTTTTGTTTTAGTGAATATTTAGAAAATTTTAAGCAATTTTCTTTATTTTTTTAGGTGTACCTTACTTAAATGTATCTAAATAGTAAAATATTTCTGAAAAAATATTTTAAAAATTAATAAATACACAAAAATATGAAAAATGTACTAAATTTTTGTTTGTTTGTTGTTGTTTTTTTTTTTTTTGTTGTTTTGTTTTTTTGGTATTTAGTGAATTTTTTTAAGATTTCTTTGACAAATATTATCCTTTGTAAGTATATTTATGTTAGATATGTCTAAAAATTAAAAAAATTGCTCAAAATATTAAAAAAAATTCAGTAAAAATAAAAAAATACAAAAAATAAAAAAGTATAATTTTTTAAAAAGTATTTTTGAAAAATAATAACCAAGCATGCTAATTATATTTTTTTCGAGAGATGGAGAGGAAATTAATAGTGAACTTCAAATTAGGATAGACCTCTCCAAAGGGGTTCGGATGAGCTTTCACAACTTGAAATTTTTTATTTTTATTTTTTACATGTCAAACATTTTTTTTTAACATTAATATTTAATTTTTTGTATTTTTTATTAAGTAAAAATCATTATTTTATTTTTTTTTCTGAAAATTTTTTATTTTATTTTTACTTTTTTAAAAATCTTTTACATGTTGGGCATTTTTTTATAAAAACATTAATGTTTAATATTTTTTTTTATATATAAAAATAATTTAACAATTCTTACACTAACAACTATTATCAAAACAAACATAATTTTACTTAATCCCTTCACTATCAATCATTTTCATTCTATCTCTAAAAATAAACAGGACCTTAAAAACAATCAGAATTTGGTGAGACTAGTCCAATGTACTTTCAAAATAAGCAAAAGCCCATCAGAAAGAAGAAATTAAGGTAACATTGGGTAAAAATTTTTAAATATGATTTAAAAATAAAAATTATATTTTGAATTTGTGAGTTTTAAAATTATAATTTGAGTATAAAAAATTTGTTTAGTGAATAAGTTTTGAATAAATAGAAAATTTTTAATATGACATATAATATTTAATATAAAAACTTACAATTCATAACTAAACACACAACTTAAAATTTTATTAAAATTCATACAAATTTTAAAAATTCGAAAAATATTTTTTTTAATATATAATAATTAACATGTGTCAATTACAAAAAAAAATACACTACTTCCGGTTCAACCATCGGGTTGAACCGGTGACCCGTCCACCCAATCCCTTTTCCGGTTCATTCACCAGTCCGGTTTTTAAAACATTGCTTCCAATCCCTAAATTTAAATTTAATATATATCTTTACATTTAAAAAATTATATATTTGAATTTATGGTGAATTCAATAAAAATTAAAAACTCTATCCAAACAATATTTGAATTTAATCCACTCTTAAAATTTTGATTAAATTTTCATTTCATTTAATTACATATTTATACCAAAAAAATTCAAAATAATCAAATATCAATAAATAATTAAATTTTTTAATTAAACTTACATTATAAAAAAAATAAATAATCATTCTTAAAATTATATTTTATTATTCTATTTTTTAAAACAAACAAAAACCAACCCTATAGGCTCGAAGATTCTTGGGCCACTCATCTCAATTTTCCAAAATAGAGGAGCTCCGATCCAGATGAAACAGAGTACATGTTCAAGCACTGAAATACATTTCTATAAAGACAAACATTCAAATATTGCTAGCCTATAATTCAAAGCTCTTTTCTCTTGCACCCAAATAGAATCCAATATTGCAAAACCAAAACCAAAAACAAAATCCAAACTTTGCAACAAAATAAAGCTCCATTACTTGAGATTCAAAAAACACAGAATTACATAAGATTGATCGAGTGAGGAAGAAGAAATTAACATCTACAATCGGTTCGCTTGCAACAGACAATCTAACCACCAAATCCATAGAGAGTCCTTCCTTGCCTCTTGAGAGCATAGACCACATCCATGGCCGTCACCGTCTTCCTCCTAGCATGCTCCGTGTAAGTCACAGCATCACGAATCACATTTTCCAGGAAAATCTTGAGAACACCGCGAGTCTCCTCATAGATCAGCCCCGAAATTCTCTTCACACCACCTCTCCTCGCAAGTCTGCGAATCGCAGGCTTCGTGATGCCTTGAATGTTGTCTCTGAGGACTTTCCTGTGCCTCTTCGCGCCTCCCTTTCCCAGGCCCTTGCCTCCTTTTCCACGGCCAGACATTTTCTGAAATCTAGGGTTTTGAAATGAAAGTGAAATGAATTTGAATGCTTGATTTGAGTTTTTTTGGTGGAATAAAAATGGAAGTGTGTGGGTACTTTTATAGTGGATTTCGGGGAATTTTGAATACTGGAAGGGGTGATTGTGGCCGTTGGTTTTAGATTTGATCGCACGGCTTAAAAGGTCGATCCGCGTCACATGGGTAAATTTGATATGAGTCGTTGATTACGTGTCAATCGACGGTGAAAAGCGTTTTAATGATCGCAAAACGGATTGTGTTTTTTTATTTTTTATTACAGAGAGAGAGAGAGAGAGGGGAAAGATGGTTTTGGCGGCTTTGAAAAATGGAACGAATTTGATTTCAAAATGTTTTCATTGAAATTTAGTTCAAGTTTGACATCTTTTAAAAAATTTAAAAAATTAAAAAGTTATTATCTTATTTAAGTCGCATCATCTCATTTAAGTCACATCACTTCTTTAATATATCACTTTAAACCCAACCCAAATCCAACCTATATTTCATAAAAAGTCAAAAAGTACACTTATTTAGTCTTCCCAAACTTGACCTTAGGATTGGTTTGAGATGTTTTAAAAAGTATACTTTTTGATTTATTAATTTATATGGATTAGATTTGGGTTAAATTTGATGTGATGTATTAAAAAGATGGTGTGATTTAAATAAGATAATATGACTTAAATAAGATAATAACATTTTAACTTTTTGTATTATTTAGGCCAAGTTTGGCTACAAAGGAAAAAGTGCACTTATTTCATCTTTTTATCTTTTTTAGGTCACATCAATCAACATCTTCTCTCTACTTCTTCTACACATAATATAAAAAAAAATCAAAAATATACTTATTTAATTTTTCCAAACTAGCCCTTATGTACCCCAAACCAAGCCTTATTAGCGGAACGCAACACCACTTCTTTTCGGCTGAGGGCCATTTTCATTAGAGTCTGGGTGGGGGAAGGCCCAGGCCCGTCAAATTGTTCTTTTTGTTAGGGTGAAATTGTGTGTAAAATAAGATTTTTAAGTCTAATAATATTTTTATGGAGATTTTTTTAAAAGGTTTCTGTTATTAAGGTTTTATAATATAAAGGATATTTAATATTTTTATAATATTGAAGGTCCCTTAATATATAAAGAAATTCACCAGCTAAGAAAATTACTCCCTTTAGTATGTAATTTTCTCTGATTTCTCTGGACTTTTCATAAAATTTCTCTCCGGAAAAATTGATTCCAGTCTAGAGATTTTTAGAGAATTTCTTTAGTTTTCACAATAATTCTCTAGGTTCAAACTAGAAAATTTCGATGCCTTCCCAACCACGATGTATAATACACAAATCGATCACCCAAATAAGCAGTGACAACAACCAATATATATATCCAAAGAATTTCTCTGGACTTTCTAGAGAATTTCTCTCCAGAGAAATTCTTTGGATTCTAATTTAGAGATTTTCTTTGGATTGCCTTCCCAATCACGATGTGGAATACATAAATCGATCACCTAAATAAGTAACAACAACAATCAATATACATATATATATATAGAGAGAGAGAGAGAGAGAGACTCACTAAAAAGAGAATTTCTCTGGTTTTCACATGAATTTTTCTAGGTTCAAACTAGAAAATTTCTCTGCCAAGAACAAGAAAAATCAAGATTATAATTCGGATGGAGAAAAAACAAAGAAATGAAAGAAATCCAATTAATTGTAGAGAAATGTGAGATGAAAGAACAGAGAATAATCCATATAATTAAATCCAAAAAAACTCATGAAGACAATTACACTTTCTGTGGTCAAGATGAGTTTATAACTTTAAAAGCTCAATCATGCCTTTTTTATTCACTTTCAGATCTCTTAGCTCAATCTGTTATTCACCCATTACGAATATATCTTCAAACACAATATATAAACTCACCTGTAACAATCTGTGCAACTCTAACAACGATTCTTCACATACCTATCAATTATTTACGGCTAAGGTCCGCTACGGAGCTGGAGGCGGCGACGGCTACCGCAGACTCCTTGTCTTGTACCATCTCCACCATTCCTCTAGCCTTTGGAGAGTAGCAAAGCATGAAGCACAGAAACTTGTGAACGCTCGATAGAATAAGCAATGAGCAAGAGATCAAGATGAGCTTGGAAGACGAGGAGACTGAAGATGACGAAGAAACCCTAATAGTGGTGGAGAAGACGTATCTATGAAGCAAGGAAGAGAGGATCGACATAGTTTGTGTATAGATAGATAGATAGAGAGAGAGAGAGAGAGAGAGAAAGAAAAAAAGAGAAAGTGTTGTAGAAAGAGAGACATGGGAGGAGAGCAGCTTTATGGTATTGTCATGACCTAACCCCAGGGGCTAGAACTAGAATCGTAACTTACTAATTAATTATAATCTTAACATATTAAATGGCGCAGGCGCAGGCGTAGGCAAAGTGGAGGAAAGAAAATAATGAAACAGAAATTTAACTTCATTCTACTATTTTGATAAAAGAAAATATATCTATAGGGTTTTTATTATTTTATTATTTAGTGACCAGCCAACAGTAAAAATAAAATAAAAAAACAAAACAAGAGGGAGAAAATAAAAGAAAAACAAAATAGCAGATCATCATTAAATTCTTGTGCGGATTCCACTACACGAGATTATGGGTCTTCTTTACTTCTCATCACCTAAAAGGGTAGCAGCTATAAGCATACAGCAAAGTAAGAAATATTATACCAAGAGTATATGGGACACAAAATAACCATGGATAGTTATTTAAGCTAAAACAATAACATAACTTAATTTGAATAAACAAAATAGTAAAGTGGCAGAAACTAAAATACAGAAATTATGTAAATAAATAACTATAATCACGGTACAAAACAGAACAGAGGTCACTGTAGTGACAGTCAGAACAGAGGTCAATGGATCCATGACAAATAGAGGGTCACAAGATGACCAATCAGAGGACAATGATTTATTTAAGTCCCTCAATGCATGGGACTCCCGTGGTGGTACTCACAAAAAATAATTACTTATAAAATCGTTGTCAAATAATTTTTAAAATTTAAACAAACATATCCATGGGTTTCAATTAAATAAAAAGAGTTCAAAAAATAATCAACGTAATCGAAATATTAATATAATTTATAAAATATAAATTGCGTAAAATAAATTATGGTAACTCAAAACATATGTAAAATATATTATGATAACTCAAGATATAATATAACTCACCTTAAGATTATTTCCTTATATTTTCTTCCTATTTTTCTTATCTTTTCGAGACTCCTTTCTTTGCAGTACCTCCCCTGATTTTCCTTCTTTTGGTACCTCTAGTTTCGTTGCCTCAGCTTGCCTTATATACACAAGGCCCGTGACGACTCACCATCTGGTGTGTATCTTTATAATGATGAATAGATCCAAAATTATATATTTTGTACAGGTGGCTTAACCTACAAATGCCACCTTTCATCATAATTAACTCATAGATTTGCTATTTTGATTGGATTATTATTATTATTATTATTATTATTATTATTACTTTTATATTTATTCATTTAACTTTTGGTGCCATTTTACTTTGGTTTAATTCTTCAAATAATTATATATTATTTATTTAGTTATTTATTTATTTATTTATTTTTTTAATAATATATTATCACATACAACCATAATTATATATATAGCTATAAACATTTATGTGGTCTTTAATTAAACATTTAGGGTGTCACATTTCTCCCCTCATAAATAAAAGTTTGCTCCCAAACTTAACATACCTTGGTGTTCGAAGATGTGTGGGCATTTGGCCCACATTTGACTTTTAGTTTCCCATGTCGCTTTTTTGATTCGATGATTTCTCCACAAGACTTTTACAAGAGGTAGTCTTGTTCCAGAGAACTTGATCACGACGATCGAGAATTTGCACTGGCCGCTCTTCATAAGAGAGATTCTCTTAAACTTCTAAGTTCTCATAATTGAAAATATGCTCTGGATCTCAAAGATACCGTCGAAACATCGAAACGTGAAACACATTATAGACATTAGACAGTTCAGGTGGCAGTGCAAGGTGATATGCCACAAGACTGATCCTTTCTAGTATCTCGAATGGCCCGATGTAACATAGGTTTAACTTCCATCGCTTTCCAAATCAGATAACTCCTTTTTGTTGGTGAGATCTTGACAAACACATGATCCCCTATTTGAAATTATAAGTCCCGTCTCCGTGTATCTGCATAACTTTTTTGGCAGCTCTGGACAGTGCGAATTCGCTGTTGGATGAGTTGAATTTTATTACTTGTTATTTGCACAATCTCGGGGCCTAACAGTTTCCTGTCTCTGATTGTCGTCCAACACAGAGGTGATCGACACCTCATTCCAAACAGTGCTTCGTACAGTGCCATTCCAATGCTTGCTTGGTAGCTGTTGTTATAAGTGAATTCCACTAAAGGTAGACGCTCATCCTAATTACCTTTGATGTCCAACACGCACACGGGTAACATATCCTCCAAGGTCTGGACTGTTCTTTCAGATTATCCATCAGTTTGTGAGTGATAAACAGTGCTACACTTCAATGTAATTGCCAAAGCCTCTTGCAATTTGTTCTAGAAGTGAGACACGAAGTGGGGATCTCAGTCAGACACGATTAAAACTGGGGTACTATGCAACCATATGATTTCCTTGATGTATAAAGTGACAAACTTATTAAAAGAGTACTTGATTTTAATTGGCAAAAAATGTGCTGACTTCATCAATCAGTATACTATAACCCAATTGCATCATTCTTTGAGATTAACTAAGGTAGCCTGACCACGAAACCCATAGTGATGTGTTCCTAGTTCTACTCAAGTATAGGGAGCGGTTGCAATATTCTTGCAGGTCTTTGATGTTCCATTTTAACATGCTGACAATGTAGATATCTGGAGACATAGCTTACTATGTCTATTTTCATTCATGTCCACTAGTAGTGTTCCTTCATATTATGATACATCTTCATATTGCCAGGGTGGACTGCAAACCTCGAGCTATAAGCTTTTACCAATGTATTCTTCTTGAGTTCTGAAATGTTGGGTACGCAAATTCAATTTCAAA